TCGAATGGTGATCGCCACGTGAGCACATCTCTACCACAAGTCCAGATTAAAGCTAGTGGTAGATGGAAAAATTTCAGACAAATCAGTGAGCTTTAAGATTAATGGAAGCCAGTGATCTCACGTATATTTATCGTAAAATCTAAACAGTGCGCGCTCTCGTTTTAGTCTAATCGCACGACGCACCTCCGACCGTCCGATCTCGTTATCTATTCATTTTCGGCTTACGTTATCGCTTTCTCCACTAGTACTTGACTGCAGACAGGCTGACACACCCACGTAGCAGGAAGGACTGAGATATACATGTATGCCTTTTTTTCTCTTCAAATAAAGTTTTCTCTCAAATTACTTATTCGATCTACAATCCAATTACACCGTTATGTTCGTTACAATTAAATCTTCACAACAAGATCTTACATGATTATATTACGATGAAAAAATATTTATATTTGTAAATTACTTTTATTATATACGTAAGTTACTTTTATCATATATATAAGTTACTTTTAGATTTGACTAAATTACTTCTTAGACATATAAAAGTAAATTTAATAAAGTTTAAAAGTAATTTATATATATTATAAAAGTAACTTAAAACAAAACGGAAGTAACTTTGTCACGACATTAGAAGTAAATTCATTGTAGGGATAAAATATGAATTTATATAGAAAACTTTATTTAATCAGTACAGATCAACACATAAGTTTAACAAATTTTAAAAGTAAGTTCAATGTTAACTTCAACACACATAAGATACATACTATTGCATTTATCAAGTTGAAAGGAGACACTAGATGGAGTATAAACCAGCTACAACTAGCTGTGTAGTCATGTCCAATGAAAAATGCATGCATTAAAGTTACTTTCTTTTGTTCTAAGTTATTTCTATAATATATGTAAATTACCTTTAGTCTTTGCTGAATTTACTTTTATATGTATAAGAAATAACTTAGTGAAATCTAAAAGTAATTTAGACATATCATAAAAGTAATTTGTGATTTTTCATCAAAATATAATCATGTGAGATCTTGTTATAAAGATTTTATTATTACGAGCACAACGGTGTAATCGGATCGTAGATCCGATGAGTAGTTTAATAGAAAATTTTATTTGAAGTATAGGTGGATAGAGTCTCTCTCATCGATGGAGTGGTAGCTGGTTTAGACAAACCAGCTACCACTAGCTGTGTAGTCATGTCCTATATTTATCAGTCGTCAAAATAAGCAAAGAGTAATTCCCATTTCTTTTTTTAATTACACACTATCACCATATACTATCTCTCTTTTTTAATATAAAATGCCATTAACCTTTTGATAAACGTTTGACCAATAATCTTTTCAAAATTTTTGTGCAAATATAAAATAATATAAGTCATGCTTAAAAAAGTATTTGACGATAAATTGAGTCACAATAAAATAAATAATAATTATATATTTTTAAATAAGATAAATTGTCACATACATGAACAAAATCAACGACATCATATATTAAAACCAGAGGGAGTATCTAATTTCTGCCCTAGAAATACATCCATCTATACTTCTACTAACATTTTTATCTTTATCGTTTTAGATATCAACACGATATCTTTACAATATTTTAAAAAATAAAACCATATAATTTTTTTAAAATGATAATCTAATGATGTTATTTTTCACATATCATATCTTAGCAATTCTTTTTCATATATTAGTGATCTACTACTTCAATATTTGGTTGCACGCGTCCTAAAATAATTTCTTCATAAACATAGAGACATAATAATACAACCAACACCGAATAAAATTGGATTTTAAAGAAATACTGCAATATTTCATAGACTAAGTCACAACTCACAAGTCCAATGTCTCAACAATTTTTACTCAAATTGGAGTATGTGATGGCTTAATGGTTCAGAACTCGTTTGGAGTTAATTATCTTGAAGAAAATGAGATAACGCTCTGTTCATGATAATGATTGGACATATATGGACATTTGCTTATAGAAATGAATTATACATTATATATTATAAACTAAAAGTAGTTTAGGACCAATTATCTAAAGAGTACTGATGTTCTAAAAAGTTATTAAAAAAATCAATTCCCATAAACTGAAAACAACGGACTATAAAATCCTTCCCGCTGAATTTCTTTTTCATATTTAGGTCATGTTCTTTTTTTCAGATTATACATCAGATTATTTGGGAATATTTGGCAATTAACCATTTACCACCTAGATCCATATATTATAGACACATGAGGGTCTATATATCATTAGCACGTAAATGACAAATGGTCAAACACCAAAACTAAGAGTGACAAATAGTAAAATGTCCCGATTATTTACTCAAAGCTTCCAAAAGCATGTTTTCTAAAAATAGATTCATATTGCTTAGATTTTATTTGTCCCATAGTCAAGTAAATAATTCACTAGCATTTCTTCTACTACTTTATTCCCTCACCGATATTTTGGAAATACGAGAGATAAGATAAACAGAACGATAAATAAACCTATAACAAATACACAAAAACTATTCATCAAAGAAGAAATTGTAGTACCAAACACCAATACACACGCATTGTGACGGCGGTTTTTCCCATTCAAAACTTTGGAGTGTTTTATTGGTTTGCACCTACAACCAACTTTGGTAATGCGACGTATAAACGTGGTAACGAACCCATCCAAGCTTTGAATTAATTTGGAAACTCTTTGTACGAAATGGCCCCTTGTTACACGGCAGCAGCCATCTGCGTCTTGTACGCATGAAACCTTAATTAATCTGGAAATTCTTTGCACGCATGAAACCTTATAATTACGAGTAATTTGGAACTTTTCTTTTGTACGCATCAAACGCCAAGAACCCACATATACACGTCATCAGAGACAAGACACTGCAGGTATTAGGCTGGAATAATAGGTTGTCTCGTATGGTCTGTGACTTTTAATTTCTAGCCCTGACTGAAAAATCTGTCTGCAATTAGTAGTACTACAGCCTTCTTCTGTACTGATTGACTTTTGAGATTATCTACGGCTTTGCTTAGATCCAGCAGTGTAAAGTTCTGGCGTATCACATCGGATATACGAACACATATTTAAAGTATTAAATGTAGTCTAATAATAAAATAAATTACAAAATCCGCATGTAAACCACAAGACGAATTTATTAATACTAATTAATCCGTCGTTAACAAATGTTTACTATAGCACCATATTGTTAAATTATGGCGCAATTAGGCTTAAAAGATTCGTCTCGCAATTTACACACAGTTTATGTAATTAGTTATTTTTTCATTTATATTTAATCCTCTATGCATGTATCCAAACATTCGATGTAACATGGTATAAATTTTTATCCGGATAGAAAAAAACATATACTACTACGAGATCGAAGTAGCCAACTGCCAACTGAACATGACCGTGTCTGGTCCACAGTCAGAAACTCAGAATAGCTTAACCATTCTGAAACATGATTTATCGAGTCCACAGAGACGGTGTTCCAGAAAATAAAGAACTGACCGGAGATCAACTCAAATTAACCCGCCCACACCGTTCCTAATGACTTAGAACAATTAACTTAAACCATGCGAAAACATAAATATCAATCTGAAACATTTGCACTTTATAACCGTTTTACGTACGGAGATCTATCCTAAAGAAAAAGAGGCACATGATGACAGGGATCGAGGAGGAGGATGATGATGATGATGCAGCTGGATCGCTGATGATGAACGCGTCCCCATCATCAACATGCTCATCTTAATCTCTCTCGAAACAAATGCACAATCACCTTAATGATGATAATCCCAATAACACCGTGCCCGATCCAGGCATCTTTCCATGTGACCCCACCCCTCGGAAGCAGGCAAAGCACAATTCCCCACATTAACCTCGGTGTTGACAGCGAGGGATTAACGAGACGATTAGCCAAGTGGCACCGTGATTAGATTAATCACGGTAACTACCCATTATTAACGAGCTTAAGGGGGTGTTTGAGTGGGGCTAAAGTTTAGCCCCTCTCTCCCAAACACCCCCTAACTCAACTGGTTAGATTTTCTGTGATAGAATCAGCTCACCCGAATTTTTTTTACCAAATCACCGGGGAGAGAGTTTTGCCACCTAAGTACATTGAGCAAATGTTCTTACATAAGACAGGCTTCAGCACAGGGAGGCCCTAGAGGATAGAAGAAGAGAATACACGGGGAATATAAATAGAATAAAATAATAGAAAGGAAAACCTCCTAAAAGATAACTATTGACGAATGACACCTGGATTTTAGTCCTAAATATATCAGTCGACAACGAGACATCCATAAATATACATACCCACCTTTTCCAAGATACTCATAGGATTAGGAATGAATATGCGCTCACTGTGAGCATATGTATTTGTGCTATATTTTTAAGAGTTAATTGCACTTTGGTCTACCCTCTAGCTAATATTTTCACTTTAGACTAGGTAAGATTACGTTGTTGCAGTTTGGACCACACAAGTCACTTTTCTAGCTGCATCTACCCTCTAATCTTGTGAAGAATAGTCTGCATGTAAGTCGGGAAGATTATTGGTTTTTATGTGCCAATGTGGTTAAAGTCATTTATGTGCTCGAGAAAAATTTTTGGGATGGTTCAAAGTGAAACAAAGGTAAACTAATCTGATCTAAAATGAAAAGATGGTTTAAAGGGTAGTCTAAAGTAAAACTTCGGTGATAAAAAGTGGCCCTAAACACAATTTACTCTATTTTTAAAATAGTTAGTAGTAGCAACGTAGCGAAGAAAAAGAAAAAGGAAAAAAAAAGAAGCTGTACTAGTAACTACGAAGAGTATACCTGCGGAGGAAGTAACAGCAGTTGGGTGGGGGAGGGGGGGGGGGGGGGAACGGCAGGTAACGGCGGTTGAATCAGGTGATTAACCAACGGGATTAAGGATTAATTACGGGTTTAGGGACGCCGCTGACTTGAGCAAGCGGCCGCATAAAACGACGCAGCCTCCCTCGGATCGCTGACACAAATCTCTCTCTCTACTTTCTCTCTCTCTTGCTTCTCTCTCTGCGGCTGCGAGGGAGGAGAGGAGAGGGGAGAGAGCTCGCGCGGCAGCCATGCGGCTGCTTGTTCCCGACGGCGCGCGCGGCGGCGGCGGCGGAGGAGGAGGAGGGTTGCTCCCGGCGGCGGCGGCGTCGCCGGCGGTGGGGAGGGGGAGGAGGACGGTGGTGGTGGGGATCAGGAGGGACGCGGCGAGCCGCGAGCTGCTGACGTGGGCGCTCGTCAAGGTCGCCAATGCCGGGGACCGCATCGTCGCCCTCCACGTCGCCGCCGCCGCCGCCGCCGGTGCGAGTCTCGCTCGCTGCTTCTAATCTCTTGCCATTTCCTTGTGCCTCGCTTGCTCATCTTTTTTTGGGGATTTATCTTTTTTTGGGGATTTTTTTTTTCCTTTTTCTCATCTTGGGCTCCTTTTTGGCAGCAGCAGGAGGAGGAGGAGGAGGAGGAGGAGGAGCGGTGGGATTGGAGGAGAGGAGCGACGCGGCGGAGGACTCGCTGGTGTCGGTGCTCGCCGTGTACGACGGCTTCTGCAACCTCAAGCAGGTCAGTGATCTCCGTTTCTTCTTGTGCTTCTGCTTTTTTCGCATCGGTTACTTCTTTCTCGCCTCCTATTCAATGGTGGCGGTGCAACTTTTTTCCTCGCAAACGGCTCCAAATTCGGCTCATAATTGATTGGGCTGCTCCCTCAAGTATTTGAGCTGTTTCTCTTCCCCTTTTACTGGGTAACTGTCCCTAAATTTTTATTTTTTACTGGATGATCTGATTTTTTTTTCACATCGTTTTTTTGAGGATTTGAGCGCGTCGGAAATTTCAGGACCGTAAATTTTGACAGCTAGAGTTTTGTTCATTCAGTATTCATGAAGAATTAATTTTCTGATGCTTGTAAAATTATTCGCTTGCTAGTTGACCGCTTGGGGTTTAGCTGAGAGGTTGGCTAGAAAATTCTTTTCATCGTGCTTTTCCTCTTTAAATTCGTCAGATTAATTTGGAGCTCAAGGTCTGTGGAGGATCATCTATCCGGAAAACTCTGGTGAAAGAAGCGGCTTCCTACGGCGCTGCGCATCTCATCCTTGGTGTTGCGAAGAATTCTCTATCTTTTAGGTACCTAATTAATTTGACACACTTTTACTGTGTGTTGATCCTAAGTATAATTTGTTCTCTGATGTTGGAACTATTGTTTGCTCCCAAACAGTAGATCCTCCTCCATTTCTGTTGCCAAGTACTGTGCAAAGAGGGTTCCTACTGGATGCTCGGTTCTTGCAGTGAACAACGGCAAGATTCTTTTTCATAAAGATGCAGTACAGCAAGAACCATACCATAGTGCTAGCACAAGTATGCTACTCACACAATTTCATTTTCAGTTTATTCTCATTTCTTGGCATGGGCGGCTGTAAATTCAGCATATGCTGAAGTCTGTAAAATGGAATGCAGTGACAGAGACACCAAGGAGGAGTTACCGGAAGCTCCTGACTTCTGTGATTGGGGAGAAACTTCGGGATGAGTGTGAACAAGATAACAGGTCCATTTTCCGGGCTGTCACCATGCCACCAAGCTCTCCGGCACCAACGAGAGAAGTTTCATTGGCATTAGTCCCAATGAAGGTTCACCGTCGTGAATCACCAGAAGTGGCAACTGGCTGGTCCTTCCTTAGGAAGAAGTTCCTGCCTGACAGAAAACCTGCCTCGCATGACAGATCGAAGATGTCCGTGGTGCAGTGGGCAATGCGGCTACCTAGTAGGTATTCGTCAGCTTCACCAGTCTGTTCAGAGTACAGAACCACAACACCAGATGGCATCACAAGTGCTAGTCGTATTTTGCGTGACCGGGTGGCTGTCCCTTCGAGAAGCAATTCAGGAAAGTCTTCTGTGGTGATCGAGGAATTGGATAATTCCTCGGATAAAGAAATTCCAGAGGAGTTGATTGCACTCAGAGAAAAATTCCCTTCCGTTTATTCTACCTTCAGTCACAGCGAGCTTGCAAAGATCACTTCTGATTTCTCACCTGGTAAGAATTTCACTTTTTCTCTGTTATTGCTAAAATTTTTAGACATGCTAGGTTTAGTGACCAGATTGGTTGTTTTCTGCAGAGTGTATAGTTGGACAAGGTGGCACTAGCCAAGTTTACAAAGGTTGCTTAGAAAATGGCAAGGAATTGGCAGTAAAGATCTTGAAGTATTCCGATGAAGTGCTGAAGGAGTTCGTCTCAGAGATTGAGATTGTCAGCTCCCTCAGCCACAAGAACATTATATCGCTTGCCGGTTTCTGCTTCAAGGACACTGACCTTCTGTTGGTGTACGAGTACTTGCGAAGAGGCAGTCTGGAAGAGATACTGCATGGTATGTTATGTAACTTCTACCACCTGTTAGTTTTTCTCCCTTTAACATTGCCATTTATCAAGAAAACCATCTTATTCTGATGTCACACAGGTGAGAAAGGATGTGACAACTTATTCGGATGGACCGAGAGGTTCAATGTGGCCCTTGGAGTTGCTCATGCACTAGATTATCTCCATGGTAGTGGCAACAATCGTCCAGTGATCCATAGGGATGTCAAGTCATCAAACATCCTCATCTCACAGGATTTTGAGCCAAAGGTAACATTTGCCCATTCAACATCATGAAAAATCTTCAGTTCCTGTGCTGTATCAAATTAAGTGAGCTTACAATTTCAACGTCTTGTTATGCAGTTATCAGATTTTGGCCTCGCGCTCTGGGACACTGATGCAACATCGCAGATCACATGCAACGATGTTGCTGGAACTTTCGGGTTTGTTAGCTAATTGATTGTTTGCTATTTCACCTTTTTTTTTGTTGGGTTGTGGCAACCTTACCTTACCAGTGTATGCATATCTTTTGCAGATACTTGGCTCCAGAATATTTCATGCATGGCAAGGTGAATGACAAAATTGATGTATACGCTTTTGGTGTCGTCCTTCTTGAACTCATTTCAGGCAAGAAACCGCTTTGCACTGGTTGTCCGAAAGGTCAGGAGAGCCTAGTGATGTGGGTAAGTGTCATGTTCTATCCTTCATTTCTTTGGACCCAAAGCTTAGGTTGCATAATGATAAAGAGCAGATAATGAGGGTTGTTTTTGTATGTAGGCAAACTCCATCATACAGGGAGGAAAACTCACACAACTTGTGGATCCTAACTTGCCTACAGAGGACCATGCCAACAAAGTGGAGAGGATGACCCTTGCTGCTTCCCTCTGCATCAGACCAACACCTCAACGCCGTCCTCACATTGCAGTTGTAAGATTTTGTTTTTCTGATGCATCCAATGCCTAAGTTCATATATTGTTTCCATTGTGCTGTATCTTACACACAGCTTGGTGTATATACCAGGTTCTGAAGCTACTTAACGGCGACAATGGTATTCTGAAGTGGGCTAGATCAGAAGTAGGATTGTCATACGAGAGCGATGGTGATGAACCTGTGGTTACACTGCCAGAGAATAACCGCAACATCCAGTCCTACATCAATCTTGCATTCGATGTCGATGACGATTCTGCCTCTGTCAGCAGCAACGATTTCATCGCTGCGAACACTTCCCTGGAAGAGTATTTACGAGGAAGATGGAGCCGATCGTCGAGCTTTGATTGATCAGTCCATGGTATACTAGTCATTTTTGTATAGTAGGTATAGATCTTTTTTCCCCTTCTTCTTAAGTTAACTTCTTTTGTTCCTTGGATGAGAAGTGGCACATGCAAAATGCCCTCCTCCAAGTCTGTCCTTTAATCTGATGTCTTAGATCTTGTTCTCCCATAAGTTATGGGTCTGTTCTATCATCTCAGAAGGATGTAATTTCCTTGTTATAAACCAAAATTCTCTCATCCAAAGGATGAGAAAGTGGGAAATAAACTAGGAAGATTGTTATTGCAGGTTTTCTCCCAAATCAATCCTTTCCTGTATCCACTTTGTCACTCTTGTTGGATATAATCCATTTTGTCATTCTTTTGGATAAAGTAAACATCTCTGCTTAAAGAATTAAAATTGATATATATCCTCATCAAATTGTCCCAAGATGATTAAATTCATGACATGTGGTCACCTCTGCAAAACATCAAGCTACAATATGCACCTCATAGGAAGATGTATGGCCATCATTAAACACCTTTTAAGAAAAAAAAAATCCTACCCTCTAATTAATCAGTAGTGTCGGTTTCACAAATAATCATTCATCTGCATCATGACGTTGGACGATTAGATCAGGTCGGTACGGCGAATTTTATTAAAAAGATCGTGGAAAACGAAAGCTAAATCATATCATAAGAGCCCAGTTGGGACATGTTACATCACATGGGGCATAACAAATTCACATGGACTAAACCCCTTGAGAAACAGTGTGCATCCGACAACTGAAGGGATCTTGGAAAAAAAAGCATTTTTGTGCATGCATGCCAACATGAGCAAACCGACATCATGCCATGACCATCCTACTTGCCGACAAGAATGGAAAAAAAAAGAATAACAGTGACACTTAGGAACATGGAGAATAAATAATACCTCTAGCCTGAACTGCTAAACACCTTCAGGTCACATGCCTCTCTGGATTGTGCTAGGGACAAATGTATGGATGGTTTTCCCCCTTTTGAAGAAGCCATTCATCAAATGGAGCTACAGTTCTAACAGGCAACAGCACACGATTGTAGTAACCATCTCATGGAATCACAGATCTTACAATGGAGGCCAAATGCACCACACATGAAGTATTTTAATATCATGCATTTGTCAGTTGTATATAGCTCAAGCAATAGATAAGCAGTGATAAATTGCCGTGAAATGACGAGATGACATTCAGAATAAAGTTGGCTTTCAAGCTGTCAATACACATTAGCAACAGTTACATAGATGATAGAAGAAACACAGCTGGAGAATTCCTGGGTACATTGGAAATGGTCAAGTCCATCCATATTCACTAATGTGCAAAGAACAGCTTTTTGCATAAGCATAGCAGCACTGTTTGTTTAGATGTGTCAAACACAGCATAAACACTAGACTAAAGGATACTAGGTGCAATGAAGCGGTGGAGTATGCGAGGTTCATCTAATTGCCAGCAGTGGTCTCAGTCTTCTCCAGAGCTGGCAACGAATAGTAGTGTTAGTGGCTGGTGGCATTTGCTGGAAGCAGAGAAACAATGCCAAGATTGTGCAACGAAACGGAATCAACTTACTGTTGTAGTTGAGCAGCTTCTCAATGAGGTCAACATGGGTCATCAGCATTCGCCTACAGCAGTAACGGACTAAGCCCAAAGCATCCAGAGCATCCCTGAAAATAGGTGTAAATACAGAATGATCATGATCTTGGTAGCAAGCTAAAATCAGAAATTAACCATACACAGGGTACCAGAGTTTGAAATAACAAAGAAGGCCAAGCCAATACTCAAGAAACTTCTACCCACCCTCCATTCATATGCAATTTAGATCATATACAGTGATCACAGCGGATGATCTCATACTGTGATTTATATCAGCTATAAGCACACTGATAAGAAACTGTACTTTGCTATAGAAGGTTGTCAAAAATACCATTCGGGATTTGTTAATCTGACAAAAAAGGAACTACCATTTTTACAACTTTAGAATGCATAGGAAAAAAACAGGCACAGGTAGCTTTTGTTCAATGGTGTCCAAACTTAGCCTTGAACCAAAAGAGGCAGCAAACATCAAAAGTAACTGTGATCAAAAGGTTCTATTAAATCCTTGTGTAAGGAATAGTACCCTACCGCTACAAAATTACTTGTGAGAATAATGCTATGGACATGCTTAGACTGACTGGAAATTTAATGATTCCTGGCTGTGCTAAAAGTATCCAGATAAAGCATAAGCCAGAATTACAGCATGGTTTAGAAAACAAGCCAATCTGAGATGGAGGCAGTGGCACTGAGGCATCCTTAACGCAGATGACATAAAAGAAGCATGCTACCACACACCACGAGACATTAGCTAACCTCCTACTTAAGCTGTTAAACAGGTAGTTGCGAGTTCCTACAGGGCCAAAACACATCCTTAACATACCATGTGCACATAAATGGATACCAAGAAGGAATGGATTCAGTGGCCATGGAAGCATGCCATTTGTAACCTGTCGCTCGTATTGTAACCCCTGATTAAATCTATTCTACAATCTACTACTACTCTAGTTACTCCACATCAACCCTTGTGTTCACATGGGCTGAACCAAGATTTATATTTCAAGAAAAGACCAGCAGACTTATCTCCTAGAAGAGCAGCAGCAGCCATTGTGCACGTCTATTGCATCCAAGAGGCTGCTCGACTACCTAAAACCTTAAAAACCCATAATCGAGCCTTCTCCTGTAAATTAAAGGTGCAACATCGCCGCACAACCCACACTTTGGCAATACATACTAAACTGAATTCATCCCACCAAAAGAGGCATGGTTGAAATTCGAGTTCCCTAGCAAGGCCAAGAACCCGTACGGCTCCATATATAATCCACACCCAACATGTACAGACTCCCCCAATCATCCACGGATTTTGACACAGTAAAGAAAGATTGCAACACGCTGCAGAGCAGATATCAAATCGTGGAATGCTAACTTGGGCAAAGTAAAAAAAAAAAAAAAAGAATCGCCCTACCCCTCGGTGTAGTCTGCCTGGAGGAGGTCGAGGTAGAGATCCCACTTGTTGCCGATCACCTGCGAAACCAAAACAACCAAACAAATCACGAAAGTATCGTAATCAGCGTAACAGGCCACTAAACCCTAAACGAACGCGATGGAAGAACGAACCAAAACCCTACCATCACCAAGGCGCGAAGCGTGGGAAGGGGAGACGAGGGATACCTTGCCGCAGGTGAAGCAGCGCACTGGTATGATCATCTTCGCCGCCGCCGCCGGGATTGGGGGTTCGGGGGAAGGATTGGGGGAGGGGATGGGGTTTGAGGGGGTTTGGACTTTGGACCAGGGACAGGTGGGGAAAATTTACCGTTTACCATCCTCCCAAAATTCCAGTTTCCAAATATCAATTTACCAAAATTTTATTCTCACTAGCAAAATGCCAGTGCTTCGCTACGGGTATAATGAAAAGTTAAATGCTATAAATACACGGTTAACATGTATGTAATAATATTTTAAGATAGATAAACCGTTCATTAGGTTAATGATAATCAAGACTAATAAGAAACACCATTGCATATTGATATAGTACTTATATTGTCATAACGCACGCTCTCTCTCTCAACTCTTGCATGGCACGCGCCCTCTCTCTCAACTCTTGCATGGCACGCGCCTGATATAACTTCTAAAATCCAACACGGACTGACGTGGAGACGGATCATTTAACGGCTCATGCGTGGACGATAGATGGTGCAGACTCTAATATGTCGTGTTTTGCAGATGACGAAAAGAAAAAAAATAATTATGTTTAATTTTCAAATTAAAAACTGGTTCATTATAAGATTTCAGAATCACTAAATATCTGTTGAAGAAAGAGGTACAAAACTTATGACTTTTACGCCATCGAATGTGCATGGTCTGCGCTAATGGTGGAGAGAAAAAAAAAAGGATGTGCATGGTCTGTGCTAGTGGCGGAGAGAAAAAAAATGCGCGCAAATAGGATTTGAGATCTGGAGACAAAGTAGACTTATTCCGAGTAATAATAAGTGTAAAAGTTTTAGATAGGGTAGGTCAATCTGGCCTAGGAGAGGCCCATAGACAGTGCAAGTAATAATACGAAACTCCTAGATAGTGCATACGCGTCGCGAATTTAAGTGGCGCGCGTTTTGAGCCCATCCATCGCACAGTCGCACGCGACCTATTTTCCTTTTTTTTATTATCTTCTGTTTCGAGACTTCTTTTTCACGCAGTTGGTTGCCATAGTGTCTTCTCTATTTTTTTTCGCACCTCTTGCGCACGGAGTCGGATCAAAAATTGAAAAAAAATTCGCGCAGTTGGTTGCCACCGTGTCCCCTCTTTTCTGTTTTCGCACCTCTTTTTTTCCTTTTACGTATTACAATCTACTTTACTTCTTTTCTTTTTTACTAAAAATTAAAAATTACTTTAATAATTAAAAAGTTATAAAAAATAAGTTATACCAAAATTGAATACTTTCACTTGAGATTTGAAAACTTTTAACTCGGATTTCGAAAACTTTTAACTCGAACTTTGACCTTTCAACCCAATATTTAAAAACTTTCAAACCAAGATTTCAAACTTTCAATTCAAGATTTTGAAACTTCAACTCGATTTTGAAAATTTTCAACTACATATTTGAAATTTTCAACTATTCTTTTAAAAGTTTTAACTAAATTATTTATGTGTTTTTTCTATTGAACTTTGTTTTTAGTGAATTCCCTACCTGTTATTATCCTAATTTACGGCATAAAAAAGGAAAAAAAAAGATAAAGCGTCGGGAGGAATTTTTTCCCAAGGAAAAAGAAAAAAAAACAACTAAAGGAAACAATAGGTATGAGTCAAACTTAATTGGGCCAAAGCCCGTAATAATTGATGTAAAAGGGAGAGGGTGGTGGGAATCGAACCCTGGTGGCCACAATAAAGATTTTCTCCACTGACCAAGTAGGCAAGCCGCTACTTGTGTTCACATGTTACATCAATTAATACATGTTCTATATTAACCGTAGTTTTGAGAAAAGGATCCATCCCGACTATTGAGCGGATTAAAACGATTTTAGCAACGTGACTCTGATTCGGATGACGGACGAAAAAATCATACGGAAACCTTACGAATTTTTTTATTAGGTATAGATTTGCTACACAGTCCCCACTAGTAATTATTTCTCATGTGCCACTATTCTCACTTTTCGCATTCACGTGGCATCAATTTTTCCATTTCCCTACCTCTAACGTGGAGGATGAGGCCAAAGGACTCAAACGTACTCGGGCCCATCTGTAAGGCTTCTTCTTCCCTCCTTCCACTCACGGAGTGTGTGGAGCAGAGAGGAGAGATGGCCGGTGGCCGCTCGGTGTTGACGCGTCCCCGACGGTGAGCACTCCCGATCACACTGCTGCCCACTGCCTGCCACGGCCATGACGCCGTCCTCCACCTCCTATCGATGCCCCTGGTCTATCGCGGCTAGCCACATATCTGTCGACGCCTTGTCCACCGGCCACCGTCCTCAGATTCGTTGAGGTTCACCGCCGTCGAGGGAGGAAAGGAGGACTCGCGACGTTGTCATGGGAGCTCGTCGAGGGAGTCAATCACTAGAGTCGTTGTCGTGGTTGGCGGCGTGACTGCGGTGTCGCCGTCGGGGAGGACATGCCGATGTCGTGGCCGTCAGCTCCATCTCGTCGGCGGTGGCTCGCTCTCTCATTCCGTCCTCTCTATGCTCAACTAGGTGCGGGAAGAAGAAGTACGTGGGCTCAGGCTAGAGTGTGGCCACGACGGGCGGCGCGACTGCAGATGGTCACCATCGAGGAGGATACGCCGGCGTCGTCAATCTTGCTGACGGTGTCTAGTTCTCCCCCTCCTCTTTCTGCTCAACTAGGTGTGAGAAAGAAGCCTTACAGGTGGGCCTGAGGACATTCCAGTCATTTGGCCTCATCCTCCATGTCAGAGGGAGGGAAATGCAAAAATTGATGTCATGTGAACGCAAAAAGTGAAAATAGTGACACATAGGAGAGAATTAGTGGGGACCGGGTGACAAATAGAAATGAAAATTTAGTAGAGTGACATTTGAAAACTGGCATTTTAGGAGAATCGTAAATAGTAAATTATGTCCCAGTTGGGTTGGACTGGACGACTACTTAAAAACACAGATGCCACTGCCCACTGGTTTTAATAAAATATATCAGTCACTAAAATATACTGAAAAAAATGTCACTTAATACTTTTTTTAAAAAAATTACTGCAGAAGAGGCTCCTACAGCTTGAGAATATACCCAATTTAAATGAGTATGAATTTTTTTTAAATGTTTAGATATGAACATTAACTTCTTTACTAACAAGTTCAAACAAGTTTGAACTTTTTTTTTTGTTAGATTTTGGTTCTAGGTATATAACTTCCAAACATATAATTCATTAGATATGTAATAATAAATTGTGAAATAAAGTTGAGTTGGAGTTGTTTTGTTGTTAGGTATTTGTATGAATCAAATTCATATACCTAGGTATATACTCACAATTTGAAAATTTTTAAAAATTTGAGAGAATTTGTGTGTTTTATACCTTAGAGCCCGGGCACCATGGAGTCACATATGGGTATCCTATATATATATATATATATATATATATATATATATATATATATATATATATATATATATATATATCGAAAACAAAGTTACATATCTACATTAGTGAAAAGAAAATCCCAAGTTGTCCATCAATATGAGCTACATCATCAAACAAATATAAACCATTAGATACATGATTTGGATGAAGAGAGAAAAAAATTTAAAAAGCAAAATTGTACCTTGAGGGTGTTCTCAACCCTTTAAACACCTCCTATGAGAAATGTGGTAATAAAGAATGAAAAAGAATAAAATATCTTACACATTGACCATATAATAAAACAATAAGCAATGTGTATTTAATAGTATTTCTATTGTACCAGTAATAACGAGTATCGTTGTTAGCTAATTAGTTATAGGTCACAGGGCCAGTGGCGTAGCCATGAATATTTTCTTAGGTAGTCCTAATTCATAGGTTCACACCACATGCTAAAATTTTCTAACACCATAAAGTCGATATACAAGCACAAAATTGATGAAAATGCGATAGAAATGATGTCTTATAACATCAATAAGCGGCTTACTAAAATATGCAATATTACAATATAGATATAGATAGTTCAACATAGATCTTACATGTAAATAGGAAATTACAAAGCCACTACCTCACTCTATACAAAACCTAACATCCTTAGCCACACTATATTCAAGTCAACTATACTTATGAAGCCAAACAAAACTGAACTGACGTTGCTTACCTTTCACATTTACTAGCTAATCAGTAATCACAATTCATAAATTGCAAATTCAGTTATATTCACAGATTCACTAATTAGTAGGAAATTTTCTTTTCCCTGCATGCATCGACGGCTGGTAATCAGGAGAGCTTCACAAGTATTGGGTTCGTAACATAACCATTCTTAGCTGGTTTAATATACAAAGTATGTAATTGTCTTTGGTGTTTTGTTTTTTCTCTGTACATAAATTTCTTTTCTTTTAATATATAACTACTGGGCAAATTCCTGGTAGTAATTTATAAAAAAGTGTTGGGTTCAGTTTGGTTATGAATACTCTCCATTCATTTTTGTGCCCTCTCTCTCTTTTTAATTTCAAGATTTTCTTTTTAAGGTTCTCTAGGTGTGTTTGGACGCTCCATTCATCTTTGATCCCATAAGCCTGATATAAGGACACAAGGCGTTTGAATAGTGTTGTGACTATTTTACCGCTAGAACCAAAATTCTTTGCCACTAGACGCGCTCACTACCTCTAATTACAGATGTGACCAACGGCAACCCCGGTGGTCACATGCGGAGTCATTGCCACTCACCTCTCGGGTTTAGAAAAATACTCTCTCCAAAAAGCCGAAAATAACATCTCATATTTTATATACGCTTTCTCACATACATGTAAAACTTTCATACGGCCATGCCTCGGTTTCTTTTAAACACACATATCTCTTTTTTATTTTCAAGACACTTCATGCATATGTTAACTTTTTACAGACATATCTCAAATTTCTACACATGCAAATATCAAATTTTGTAGATGTTAACTTTTTCTACACATGCAAATATCAAATTTCTACACTTTTTTNCAAATATCAAATTTCTACACATGCATATGTTAACTTTTTACAGACATATCTCAAATTTTCTACCTAGCGACAATGGTGGCTGATCAAGTTCCCCTGCGAAGTTGGACTGTTGTAGATGTCACCCCGGTGGAGACACACCACAAGAACTTGTCGTTGTTGCCACCAGAGCATTACAGCAGCCCAAGGGCGGTTAGAGCATCCTCAGCAGCTC